GCTGGAATGCCCTGTAACACGGTGGCTATGTAGCAGTCCACTTCACTGTGAGTGCTAGTGTCATCCTCAGCCCAAGTCTGTGGGCTCCGTGACAACGTATCGGCGATGACAAGCGTTTTGCCAGGAACATAGACGGCCTCCGGCTTGTACCTCATGAGCCGCATCAGGAGGCGTTGACACCTCAATGGAACATTGTCAAGGTCCTGGCTGTTGACCAGGGGCACCAAAGGTCTATGGTCGGTCTTAAGCCTGAAGTGATGTAAGCCACATAAATACTTATCAAACTTCTCGCAGGCCCACACACTCGCCAAACACTCCTTTTCGATTTGTGCATAGCGTTTTTCAACCTCCATGAAGCGTCTAGAGCAGTAGGCAACAGGTTTCCACTCTGCAGCATGAAGCTGAAGCAGCACAGCCCCAAGCTCGTGGCTACTGGCATCGGCAGACATGGCTGTGTGTCTGTTGACGTCATAGAAGGCAAGAACAGGTGCTGATGTCTCTTAATGTTCTCGAAGGCTGACTGCTGTGGGTGGCCCCAGGTCCAACTGTTTTTGCTTTTAAGCAACTTGTATAATGGCTGGCATACTGTGGCAAGAGCAGGAATATATCTGCCCAGGTAATTAACCATTTCTAGGATCCGCTTTTGCACATTTTCTGGCGATGGCAGCTGAAGAGTGGCGTTCACTTTCTCAGGGTCTGGCCTGACCCCAGAATAGTTGATCAGGTGCCCTAGGAAGCGAAGCTGGCTCTGTCTCAACTTCTCTCGGTTGAGCTTCAGTCCGGCTAACTCAATGTGCTGCTGCACCTTCTCAAGTCGGGTGTTGTGTTGTTCCATGGTGGCCCCATAGACCAGGATGTCAACCATAAAGACCTCCACACCCTCGAGCCCCTCTAAGGTCAACAACATCTTTTGCTGAAAGATCTCTGGTGCACTTGTTATCCCAAAGGGCAGCCTCTTAAAGCAATACCTGCCAAATGGCGCGATGAATGTCGTTAGTTTGCAACTCTCGTGATGCAATGGGATCTGCCAAAATCCACTGGCTGCATCCAGCGAGGAGAAGACCGTTGCCCCACTCAACCTGGACATTGTTTCCTCAGGGGTAGGCAAGATATAGCGCTCTCTTTTGACAGACTTATTCAGTTTTGACAGATCGACGCAGATCCTGGCCCTGGCTGTGTTCTTCTTCAAGACAGGCACCATTGGGGCACACCATTCAGTAGGTTGGGTCACCCTCTTAATGACACCATTGTTCTACATTCTTTGTAGTTACTCCTTCACTTTCTGCAGCATGGGGAAAGGCACACGACGTGCTGTATGCACCACATATGGCACAGCATCGTCCCTTAACTGAATTTTGACTGGCTCAGTTTTTAGTGTTCCGTGTTCACCATAAAGTGGTTGGTTCCTGGTAGCAATGAGCATTGCTTCATCAATTCTTCCCACCAGGTTCATCTGCACTGACAAGGAGCGGCTGAGAAGGTTGCTAACTCTGCGTCCACGAACCACATACACCTTGGATAGGTAGTCTTTGCCTTTATAGCTTATTGTGGCCTTGAAGTAGCCGAGACATAACAGCTCTCCTCCGGGGCTATCTAGAGGGAGATTAGAAGGCTCTAAGTGTTCTCTTATGAGCAAGTGTGTGGAACGTGTCTTCGTTTATGATAGTGACATCTGCTCCTGTGT